AAACAGGTATTTTGCAACAAGTTTTAAATTTTTGGTTAGAATGCCTGCAACAACAAGGAATGTCATAGTCAATTCTCGATGAACCGGGGATGGCGATAGTTACGATCAACCGGAAATAACAAATAAAATTATATAAAATTGGACATAATTGACAGAAAATTACGGCGAGCCTTCATTCTTCACCAAACAGGAAAACCTTTTTTTTACTCCCACCCCTGATTGTTTACCCAAGTGTTTCACTTTCCTGTAGATCTCGAGATTTTTTTGACGTGCGTATCACCAATTTCATACAAAAATAAGAGTGAGAAATACGTGTTACGCGTAGTTCGCGTGTACGTGCTCCGACGAGCAAGGTCATTCCGGGAAGTCTGGTCCGTTGAATATATTGAATAGTGCAAGAAATGTAAAGTGAAAGTGGGAAGGTAATTAATTCCCTCGAGACCGGTGACCGTAAATAACATTAAGTCATTATATCATCGTTATTATTAGGAACAATGCGTACATGAACAATCACCAAAATTCCCTTTTAAAGTTTATTCATGCGATGCTTTTTTCTTCAGATACGTACATACGAGCTTTTTTTTTTCTCTACTCTCAAATTACCGGGGAGATGTACAATAGAAGGTGCATTAGGTACGTACATACAAAATCCTTTGTAATCGCTCTCATTGTGTGGGGATTGGCCCATCAATATTAGTTTACATTATTCGATATGTTTTTTATGTGACGCAAAATTAATTTTCAATTTGCCTACCGGTACATCAACCGTATGAGCTGCTATGTCTGTGCTCCTTCAAATTGTGTACAATTATCACAGAGCCCCTTTCAACTTTAAAAAAATTTTTTTTTTTTGCACACCAAATGATTATTATTAGAATTGCCACAAATATTTATTGTACGTATGTCCAATTTCTCTTTGGAAGTGTCCTTTTCTTTACGGCAACTGAAGAACCATAGACTTGTTTCCTTCGAAACTATTTTTAAGACAATAGACAAAAATTTTTTTTTAATAGTAATATTAATAAGTTCATTTTACACGGGAGCTGGTCACCCACTTTACACTTAGAGAGCATTAAAAATATATTATAATATCAATTCCGGAAAGACATTCTCATGTTAGAAATCATATTTACTTCAATGATAGCATGACAGACTATAACTCTTCAACACCAACCTCTCCTCGCGTTAGACACACCACACGAGTTTATCGTGACTACACTTCGTCTTTTGACGAGGCCGAAGAAAGTGACGCATATGAAAAAAGATTTTCGGAAACCAGCTCAAATAGATGGCGGGCCAACAGCGTAAATTCCGCGTTCGGTTTGACTTTTGTGCAAGGTAGGAGATTTGAGATAAAGGAGGAAGACAATAACAATAGTACATTAAGCTCACGGAGAAGGCGTGGTCGAAACTGGGAAACCGACGACGAACTGTTCAAACCAACTTTCGTAAGTTCTTTCTAATTTAATTTGAGTGTGACAGCCGGTACTCTTGAATTTTTGCCCGTGTTTATATCGCGCATCTTCTAACGTTCGTGTTATCGCGAATTCATCATTTTATAGAGGAACTCGTGTCCCATATCACAGTTACCGTCGCATAATCAAAATTCCAACAATAACAGCCCCATAGATGAAGCCACCAGGTCATTGCTTTACCTACTTAACAAGGAACGTACGAAAAGGCGTGAATTACAAAAGGCTCACGAGGAATCCCTTCAGGAACTCCGAAAAAGGTACGACGATGACATCCAAGCTCATGAGAGCGATATCCAAACATTACAGGATGCTCTGCTTAAGGAATCTAAGGTAAAGGCCCAGTTAAATAACCTCCTTCGTGAGGCTCAAGCAAAGTTTACCGAGGAAATGCAGGTGTGGGCCAGAAAGGTGGCTGAAATGGAAGCTCAGGGAAAAGAATTGCAAAAGACTTTTCTCGAAACAATGGAACAATTAGAAAGGGAAGAGGAGGAAATAATGAGGTTGAGGAAAGAGAATCAAGCATTGAGGGAGCAATCTGCGGGTAATTGCACCATTGACTCTTCAAGCCTAAGTAGAAGAAACCTCGAAGATGTCCTCAAGGTTGGGTCCATGGAAGATAGAGATGATATATCTGTTTCAACGGAAACCAAGCATACAATGGAATGTAACGAAATATCGGACACTGAATCCGTCATGATTGATTCCAGGATTTCTGAATTAAAGGATCGCATCGCCGAATTAGAGAACGAACTCATCTCCACCAAGGAAGAAAATCAAAAATACAAATCTGCATTACAAGAACGTGAGGTTGAGATGCAATCGGCTATAAAGCAACTCGAGGAGAAGAATGAAAAACAAGTGAGATTGCTTCGTGCAAACATCACTCAGCAACAAAAGACAATAAGCGATCTGAATCAAAATCTACGCAAGGCAAAATACAATGAACATCAGAAGCAACAAAAACAACCTCATCAACTGATCCCAAGACCCTCACTACTTATACAACAAAAACCGCTGGATGATGACGATGACGAAAGTAGTAATCATCATCGTATGATTCAGAACAAACGTCGAGCTATCTTGGCTGATTTATCTGAAAACCTTTCGCTGAAAGAACGGAAGAATAGCGTAACTAGTACCAACAGCGGTAGCGTTGAAAGCAATAGTATTAAAAGCGGAAGCATCGGAGGGAAAGACGGAAGAAAGAACAACGTAATTGAAGATGGTGAAGAGCAATCTGAGGTTTGCTCGGAGGAAGAAGACGACCAATCTTCATCTTTCTGCACTGGAAGCGAAAATTGGGTGCAAAGTCGTTTCGGAAGCGAGGAAGCAGCGAGCACCATCGAACTCCGCAACAAAAATCTTGATAGATTGGTACCTTCGTTATCCGAAAGGCAACAGCATCAACATCAAATTTCCGATGAGGGAAATGAATTGGAAGATGAAGAATATATGCTAGATGCCATCTTGTCTGATCGAGAAGATCGTTCGTTGCCCTTGATTGGTCACTATTCAGCTGCGGAATTTACGGAAGACGAAGATTACGTTGATTACACCGACAGGATGATTTCTGGCGGTGGTTCGATTAGTAGAAGGCATAGCCTGACGGAAAAGTAGATTAGATTGCGGAGCATCGATGTCGAAAAAATGGGGATAATTGAAATTTCGTATCACTCGGGGTTGAAAAGATATCCCACTTAACGTTCGGTGTTCCTGAAAAAAAAGATTCACATTGTATATAGCATCACAATATTCCGCGTGAATCTCGATTTCTTTCCTTTATTTCCTTTTTTGTTTAAAAATTTTGTGGATCTTTCGATCTTTGGTGGTTACCTTCAATAGAAAATCTTGGGACATTCACTCTTCATTTTGCTTTGCATTTATCACCATCTTTCTTTGTAAATATCATTCCTTTGCGACGGCACAACGATTAACGAACGGCGCGAAATATATATATATATACTGTATATATATATAGAAGGGTTTATACATATGTAAAAGAACACTAAAAAAAATCATCAATCATTCGGAGTACAATAGTATAAAAGCAAAATTGTAGTTATATTCTTTTTCCTACAATGTCTTTTATTTTCTTTATTGTAATGCAATTCATTCTTTCTGTTCAATTTTGAGAATAAGAACATCTAACTTTTCTTTAAAAAATTTTCTTCAAAAAAAGGCAACAAAAAATGAAATAAATAAAATAAAATAAAAATATATTCATGATGATCAAGCAGGGCTTGATTCTTTGATTAACATGTATTTGCAGTATATCGTAACATTAATTTTCAAGTTCTACGCAAAACCATGTGCTACGTAACATCGCTTAGGTTAGCAGAACAGTTGCATTCTAAATGTCCAATCAGTTTAAGTCATTAGTTTCTTGTTTATAATTTATCGGGGAATTGGACTAATCAACATTATTTGTGAAAGGACCGTATTTTGTGAAATAGGCTATCATTCTTTTCTTTTTTTAGTAATTTCGATATGATAAAAAAAATTATAATAATAACGTTTATTTTATAAAAAATAAATAAATTATAAAAAAAAAACTCATTAATTAACAAAAAAAAAAAAAGATATAATATGCAACATTTGCTTTTGGAATTATATAAATACATGTTAAAATCAAAACATCATTTTGGTTTAAATTGAAATTAAATTTAAAAAAATTTTTAATATTATTATTTTGATCGGGCAATAAAATAAATTCAAGTCTCAATAATAAATGTACAAAATAAAATCTTTATTTAAAAAACTTAATAAGTTTTGCGGATAATACTATATATAGTTTCAATAATCAATAGATGAGTTTTTCAAATGATTTAATAAAAAAATATTTTATCTAAAATTATTTTACTTTTAAAGAAAAAGTTTTATTGATTTAATAATGAAACTTTAGAAGAAACATTAAAATATTTTTTTAGTTTTTTTTTTTTATATATATATAATTTACTTTTGCAATTCAATATTTGATAAATAATCAATTTGACAATATTTGACAATATATCAACAATAAATCTTATAATTAAAATAATTTTTAAAATTATATTTAAAAAAAAAACAAACCATTGTTTTTTAGATTAATATCATTGGATAGTTATTTTTAGTCATAATTTTCATTTTATTTTTATTTTTATCTATTTATTTATAATTATTTTTTTAATATTATTTGATATTTTTATTAATACTTGATTAGTATAAATCACTTTATCTAATATAACATATAATATAATATAATTTATTACAAATTAGATAGCTCAGAAAATCCAGAAGATCTAGAAAACTTAGGAGATTCAAAAGGCTTAAGAGATCTAAATGGTTCATTTTTACAAGTATATAAGTAATAATAATTTATTTAAAAATAAAATAAGTTTATAAAATAATTCTATTTAACTTTAAAAATTAGATATCTTTTTTTGATTTTGAGATTAAAAAAATTGTTTTTTTTTTAATTTACTAATAAATTTGGATTTCAAGTAAATCATATTTTTTATGAAATATTGTATAACTCTGTTTAAAGAAATTCTTTTTTTTTTTAACTAGTTATATTAACTGGGTTTTATTAATTAGATTACTAAATATATAAATTGTTTTACAAAAGTGATTCATATAACTTTTAGTTTATATTATTTTACCTGATTTAAATTTATTTGATTTTATCTATTGAGGATAATATCTTTATCAGTTATCTCGCTATACCCAAACCATTTAATATTTTGAGAATCTACTAAAGAATTTCTATTTTTCCAGAAAATTATTATATTGTAATTGTTCTATTTATAATTATTTATTTTATATAAAATGTGTTTAAATCTTATATAATGTATTTTTGTGTCTAGTTTTCAGAGACTGGTTGTTCATTGATATCCTTAATTATTGTATATACTATATAATTCTAAGTAGGTCTCTTGATAGCCATTGATATGCTAGATTAATAACTCAAGTTTTTTAATAATCATTCTTAGCTACTTTTTAAATATAATCTTATAAAGAATTGCTTTAATTAAACAAAATCTTTAGTCTCTCTTAAATGAATTTATTCCTACAGTATTCTATTGTAACTATTTAATTTTATTACTTTTTATTGACTATCCATAAGATCCATTCTCTGGTAATCATTAATAATTAATGATTTTAGATCTTCTATATTATTTGACTCTTATATTTGTAATTAATATATATAATCAAAATTTTTTAGTTTTCTATGAAAATAAAATTTTTAAAAAGAGATAAATTTGAATTAATTATTGTCTTTTTTAATATTTTTTTGATATCTATACATATTTCAACTAACAGAATATTGTAACTTCTTTTATTAGTATTAAAACTAATTAAAATACATATAACTTGATTTGTTATATTATGATTAGATAATGAATTTCTATAGTTTATTTTATATACAAGTATATATGAGACTGATAAATATGCATTTTATACAATGTAATCTATATAATGAAAGTTATTCTTGAATAGAATTGAATTGATAACTTGTAAGTGATAATGATAATTTAGAAATACTGTATATTCACTATAATATTGACTTAAAAATCTATTAAAAATTTTTTTTTGATAAATTTATTTTGATTATTTTTTTATTATTATAAACTATTTCTTGAATTATTTTTTTAGAAATTGTTTTTATAAGCAAGTTTATTTAGATATACGATTGCTTCCAAAAGTTTGAGTCCACTTACTATGTTTTTATTATAAATTTCAACTTTGACAATTTTTAAAT